ACATTATACTTTCCTCTCTTTTTTTAAGCCAGTGCTTGCTAGGCGCCAGCCGACCGGCCCAAAATTTGGTCCGTCCACGTCGACGCCGTTCCCTTTTCTTCCCCGACGCGCATCGAACCACCCCCGCACGCTGCAAGAGAGATAGCGACCCAACCTGCCGGATCCCCTGCCATCCATCTCCATCGACGCCCCCTTCTGATCCTGCAACACCCGCCACCGACGGGCGTGCTCGGCCATGGCTGCTTGCAGCTCCTGCTGTGAATGGCCGCAGACGTGACCACGCTGACATGGAGCCTCGACCAACGGCGGTTTCAACTTTGCCACGTGGTTGCAACATCGGTTGCGCCGCCGTCGTTAACGCTCGCACGCACAGGTGCATGTTGCAGCACCGCCATCATCTCCATTCCATCAATTCTACTTGCTTGTTGCAGCTTTTGCCCCTGCCGGTGGTGTGCTCGATCGATTCTAGCAAAATGTAGCCAGTTCCAGCAAAAACGACTTCACCGGTTGACCGGTTCCAACAGTGGACTCATGTGGTCGCAACTTTCTATCTAACTGATTCCATCAAAATGACACGCCAGCTGCACACCGTAGTTGTTGGTTGCAGCGTCGTCATCAGCACATGCAACACAGATACAACTAGAACCCAGACACCATTACCACCGGTCGCAACACCAATAGGTGGCCCCATCGGGTTGAAGTGTGATTGGTCACCATCATTGGCACCCGTGACCTCCATCGAGGCTGCATGGAGAGAAAAAAGGGGGCCCACGACAATGGAGAAGTGCTTGTACAGGCGAGCGCATTGAGGAGTGGCTACCCCGGCGTGGCTGGGCTAGATAGACAAGGAGTGGGGAGCGACTACATGAGTGAAAGAAATCGATAAGATGAATACATAGGAGGAAGAGATAAGTCGGGGCATTTGAGAGACACATGTCAGGTCGCGATCGCATGGCTCACGACACTCACGATGGATGTGACGCGGACTGGAGGAAGACACAACGCCGCAGGGGGAGCCGAAGGGAATAACATGGGATGAGCGAAAAAAAAGGTCGGACAACACAACAACACATGGAAGGGAAGGGAAGGGAAGGGAAGGAAGGAGAAGGCACCGAAAGGCCCTATTACATGCAGTATGCATTGGAAGTGCACCAATCGTGCACCGTGTTGCCCCAGCTGTTACAAACTCCGCCGCCCCAGTAACGATAGGAAGGCTATGGTACGTAAGTCATTCTCTGTTTTCAATCAGTTTACTCTAGCCACTTTTTTTGGCTGATTTCCTATTAACATCTTTTTTTCAAAAACTTTAGGAATTTCAAAATTTCTGTGAATCAAAAACCAGTTTTTCTTTAAAAAATATTCAAAATTTTTAAATATGTTCCCAGTTTTTTTAAAAAACATTTGCGATTTTAACAAATTTGCATGAATTTTAATTTTTCTTTTATGTTTTTTTAAATCCCGTATCTCAAAGAGTTTCATTAATTAGAATGATTACGAAAACTTCGAAAATGGAAAAACAAAAAACAGAAAAATAAAGAAATATAAAAACACACCCATCAAAATAAAAAAAATAAAATATTAAAAAAAGAAAGAACTGATCCAAAACTGATAGAACCCAAAAGTGTCGCAAATGGGTTGGCCTATATAGGCACCTGCGCAACAGGATGATGATAGGAGGATGAGGGTGGACGATGGTGTGGGGAGGAGAGGCGGGCGGAAAGTATATTGGCCTATACAAAAGATAGAGGGCGAAGATTAGCCGTGAGTTCATGAAAATACAATGGTGATTTTTAAAAACTCAAATTAGATTATTTTTTTGTGATTAAAAAAATCAGTCAATTTGTGTTTTGGCGCCCCACAAAATTCAGCTCCATTCTTAGTAAAGAAAACCTATTTTTGATTTTGAGACAAACTTATACCGAATAAATAATAGGCCTTGAGTGATGGGCTTTGCAGCTTGTGGACTCAAACCCAATAACGAACGTGGTGAGTTGTTTGTTAACCCTAGGAGAGCGCTAGCTCTAGGCAGGCCCAGGTGAGGTCGCACACACGGGACGACCGGGCGGCGGCGGCGGCGCGAGCTCTGTCTCCGGGGAGAAGCCGAGGGAGAAGCGACGGCGGCGACACCGTGAGGGAGGCCGCCGGTGCAAGCCCAGGTTCGCCCCTCACCCCATCCATCCCAACTCCAAACTCTGAAACTTCGTGTTTTTCTTTTCTGAGATGAACTCTGAAACTTAGGAATCTCTATTCCTAATGTCTCAGTTGGTAGGTCGCGTTCCGGGTTTTATTTTCGTCCCACCATTTTCGTCCGGTTTTTTTTCGTCGGTTTTTTCGTTCCCTCCACTCCCCCAGCCACCCACGCACGTAGCCGGAAAAAACACTCCGCAAAAAACACTCCTATCGATCTAGGTCACAGCCCCATCAGTTCAACTCCTACGAGACTGCCGCCGCCGGCGGCATCACCCATCTCGATCCAACTTCTTCCTCGGTCCAACTCCTACGAGACCGACGCCGCCGCTTCCATCGCGGAACCCCATGGTTCCTAGCCTCGCCACCCATGTCTTGCTCCTCTGCCAATCTACGAGACCGCCGCCGCCGCCGCCATCGCGGAACGCCAAGGTAGGGCGTGGTCACATTGCAGGCAACGAGGAGTGGCGCAAGGCTGTGTCTGTCGTGCCCTGCATCGCGCCACCTACCACCTCCACCCTCCATAGTCACCCCTTCCCCAACCTCTGTCCCGTCCCGCATGACGGTCGGCCGCTGTGCTTCCTTAGCAGGCCAAGCCATGTTCATCCTCCCCCGCAGCACTGTGATCCCACCACTCCTTCGATCGATCATCCACGCCCGCCCCGTTGCGGCGCAACGCACCGTGCCCTGTAGGCGGCTGAGAGATGGAGAAGGGGTCGTAGGGGAGTCGTCCTCGCGTCTCTCCAATACGTTTTCCTGTCCATCGTCTTCCCCCCATCTCCAGCAGCTAGATCGTTCCCACATCGGATCCATGCATGTGCATCTACGTAAGTACCATCCACGTGCCTTCATTTGATTTTATTCATCGTTCATCTGGTCCTTAATTAATTATCTTGAGCGTTGATTAATTAATATGGAACTCGCACATTTGCGATGGTTTTTTATCTTGCATAAAAAGGAGAGGTGGTCCTTCTTCAGAAGAAAAAGCATTCTTGTTTTCCTCGGACGTGATTATCAGTACGATCTAATCTGATCTGATTTTTCTAGATTATGGATGCTTTCTTGTTTATCCAGTCTTGATTTGGGCAGCTGGTTCATGAATATCTTCTCCTGTGGAGAGTTAGTAGCAAAATTATTTATTATGTCATATGTACTTCCATAAATGTGAAGCTCAGACAAGCTATTCTGTTCAGGGTGTTTGCTAACAGTCCATATTTTTAGATTTCCCACGTGTGCACAACTAATTTCCCCGGTGAAGCTGCTGCTTTCTGGTTAGCTGCAAGCTCCTATTTCTTCCCATAGTTTTTGTACTGTGATAGCCTCAATGAAAAAAATAGTTGTTCTATATAGGTGCTTCTCATTTCACGGATAGATTGTTCTTGATAGGTAGCTGACATGAATTATAGTTTGTCCTGGAGACCTTAATATCAATAGTTCTAAGTAGAGTTCTGAATGAACTGCAAAAAGTACTCTTGTTAGATTGCCAGTTATCTTAGTTAAACCTTCTAGATGTTTGTTCTATGCTGCATCATCTATTAAATCGCCGCTAAGTATCCTGCACTGCACTGAGATCCGTAGCAATGTTTGTGTGTAGCCACCGCGCCTCAGCTCTACCAGCGGAATGGCCATGTATATATTTTTCTTCTACCCACATAATGGAAAAAATCCTCAAAAGTAGTTGCAGGTGGGCCGTCGGTGACAAGATTTACCCACAGAAGTTGAATAGGTATTAACCCTTAAGAATACCCAAAAGCAGAGGTAAGGAAGATCGAGGTAACTACACTGATGTTTGAGGAAATATTGTTAATATACC